TAAGTGTGTGTGTGGGATGCGGCGGCGGCGAATAATCGATTAATATTCGCCAGGGCTGTCCGATTTTGCGATCTGTACCTAGTTCCTGAGAACTAAAGAGTTCTCAGGAACCTTTGTGGGAAAAGTACTTGGTGTGAACGCGCCTAATGAGTATTCTCCCATTAAGCTACTTGTATTCCTGCTGGGAAATCTGCCTTCATCACATCGGTACAATCACAAGCCGACCTCATCAGCTCTTTAAATAGTCTAGTTTAAAAGGAAATAGTTAATACTGCATTGTAATGTTGCTGCACCAGCTTCCACTGTGCATGCATCTGTGGTCCATGTGACTTCAGACCTGGAGCAATCATTGAATATAGCTGCTTTGGGTCCCAGCTGTTTAGTGTATTGAAATGTCAGCATGTAGTAAGGTGAGTGTGTGCTCTGCAGGTGGAGGTGACGGAGAAGAACCCCGGAGGCTACCTGTCCGCAGCAGAGATCCCTCTCTCTCGCCTCTACATCGGGATGGCCGGAGTGTTCTTCACCGCAGCCATGGTCTGGGTGTACACGCTGATGAAGCACAGGTACACACTGACTCCTTCGAGGACCACTCAGGCTGTTTATTAGCACACTTTCAGCTGTGAAAACCGCTGAGCCTTTCTATTGTTTCCAGGTACAGTGTGTTTAAGATCCACTGGCTGATGGCAGCGCTCGCTTTCACCAAGGCCATCTCCCTGGTGTTCCACAGTGTAAGCACATAGCTGAATGTATTATCTGCTTGTATTATGTCAATGCATCTTTTAATGTGATGAATCTCTCTGCCCCTCAGATTAACTATCACTTCATCAACACTGAGGGCCATCCCATTGAAGGCTGGGCCGTCATGTATTACATCACTCACCTGTAAGTACCCTTTCTTAGTAACTTAATACAATGTCTTTCTTTGACCTGCTTTATTAGTTTTCCTTTCTAAATGTTTATCAGAACACATGATGCTTCCAGAACACATTCATGATCCCATGATATTACAAGAATGTAAAATAGGCAGGGATTATATATACAGTAGGATGATCTAAATCCTGGGACTTGTATATTTAGTTTGTATAAATAGTGTATTTAATGTTTCAGGCTGAAAGGGGCGCTCCTCTTCATCACCCTGGCTCTGATTGGCACCGGCTGGGCCTTCGTCAAATACATCCTGTCCGACAAGGAGAAGAAGATCTTCATGATCGTCATCCCTCTACAGGTGTGTGTGTGTGTGTGTGTGTGTGTGTGTGTGTGTGTGTGTGTGTGTGTGTGTGTGTGTGTGTGTGTGTGTGTGTGTGTGTGTGTGTGTGTGTGTGTGTGGGAACGTGTGTGTGTGTGGGAACCTGTAAGTGTGTGTGTGTGGGAACCTGTAAGTGTGTGTGTGTGTGAACCTGTAAGTGTGTGTGTGTACCTGTAAGTGTGTGTGTGGGAACCTGTAGGTGTGTGTGTGTGTGTGTGTGTGTGTGTGTGTGTGTGTGTGTGTGTGTGTGTGTGTGTGTGTGTGTGTGTGTGTGTGTGTGTGTGTGTGTGTGTGTGTGTGGGAACCTGTAAGTGTGTGTGTGTGGGAACCTGTAAGTGTGTGTGTGTGTGGGAACCTGTAGGTGTGTGTGTACCTGTAGGTGTGTGTGTGGGAACCTGTAGGTGTGTGTGTACCTGTAAGTGTGTGTGGGAACCTGTAAGTGTGTGTGTGTGTGTACCTGTAAGTGTGTGTGTGTACCTGTAAGTGTGTGTGTGGGAACCTGTAGGTGTGTGTGTGCAATGGAAACAGTATTAATGTGTGGGCCTGGGAAACAGTAGTTGTGTGTGTAGTTGTTTTAC